CTGGAGCTCGATTACTCTAGTGGGTTAGTTAAGACTAAGAGAATAAAGTGGAAACGTGTTTGCCACTACTATACATACTCTCTCCTTTAGGATTCCCTAGCTCCTTTCCGTTCATGCAATCTAGACGAGTCTGGAAGCACTAGCTAGGGCTGCGTTTAGCTTTGTCGATGATAGAGCCACCTAAATAACTTGAGTTAGAAGAGTGAGGGTTTGTGGGGGCAATGTTAGGATCCAACATGATGGCAGGTTGCTGCAATCTGGGTTCACATGGCCCTGGTTTAGGACACGGCTCTATGGCTCGGGACGTGCCCACACCCTCGTAGCGGTTCCGGTTCTGGTTGCTCGCTGCATACCAATCTGGGGGTGTTGGGTGCCATGTTTGTGGGGCTTGTGCTGAACAGTGCTGGGAAGTACGCGCAAAGCACGCTGACGAACCCGTTTCGTAAAACCTGTCAATTGTGGGGCCCAGTAGACAATGCGCTCGTGTCACAATATGCCCAAGGGGCAATTTACTGGGCGTCAATCACTTCCACACGGCTTTCAAAACAAACAAACCGAGTGACTCTTTGTGATGCCAATCTGGCTTCTGGGAAGAGAAAATCGTGGAAATACCGTGGTCAGACTTGTAAATTTGAGGACGGGGAGCTGACCCGAGTAGGAGAAGCGGGGAGTATTTTCTCCGCATTGAAATCTTACTATAAACGGTCTCCTGTCCCTTGATCTCAAGCTGACTACGCCCAACACTTACTTGGTATCCACCCACTCCACCCAGCTCTCTATCCGGTTTTCGACCTAGCAGTCCCAACCCCATCCTTACTCAGGACACAACTCGCCCCCAGCTACTGCCCAAAAATCTCACCGGGGACGCTGCTGCTGCGTTCATTTATCGAATCTCCGCCTCCAACCTGCAGGCACCACGACAACTCAGATATCACCACGATGGAACGACAACGGAGCTAGTAAGGAATTGGGCCAACGGTCGGGACATATTGTTGAAGTGGGACTAGACGGCAGAATTTTAAGCCGTAAGCAAGTTCTTGCTGCCACTATCATGCGAAGGATAGATTTGGGGGTGAACCAGGATAAACAAATCTTGAGGGAGGGAATTGTTATTCGAGTGAGCTTTGATGACGCCTTCTTGTACGATGTTTCTGTTGGCAGGGTAGAGATAATTTTAGACTCTTGTTTGACGCCTGGGAGGAATTACCTGGGGGGGAGCGTATTTGAACGTGGGTTTCTGAAGAGTAGTGATTAGGTCTCTCCTGAATCTCAAGACATGATGTCGCCCACACTTCTGTTGTCCATTGGCAAAATTTGCTCCTTAGAGAGCTCATTCACAGTGGTGATGTTGGCAGTCACTTCTTCTATGATATGGAGGGGGGTGAGCCTTGGGCAGCTGAGTTTGGTGCTTTTGCGTCTCTCCCTATCATACCTAACAGTTTATTCTTTAGTTGCTTGTATTGATAATCTGCAGGTGGCGCCACACGCGGAATTGAGATTCCATCTTACTGGGTATTGACTAAGATTACAAACCGGCCAAGAGAATTGACCGCAGGAACGGCAGTCCCTCCTACTTTGGTTAATCACTCTCCTGCTTATTCCAGTGCCCTGAGATACATTAGTGTTCGTGGCGAACTATCCATAATCATGCTGTATAAGCAACTCCAACTTACCGGCCCAGGAGAAAAAACAAAAAAACAAAATTCAATTTGAGAAATGGGTATGGAGAGACATGCCTCATTGGTTTCGCGAAAAATTATAAAAATAGACCTTGCATGCGTACGAAAAAATGGGTGATTTCCCCTAGGCTTGTGTTTCGGTCACCAGTTGCCCCTCCAGCATGATATGGCCTTCCTGTGTCATACTAATATCAATTTGATTGATAATTTTTTAATTTCCAGTGACAACGTCTATTCGTACAACTTCCGACAGAGCAGCGCTCTTTCTACGAAGAAATATATCCCGCAGAAGCCTGGAAGATCTGTCCTGGGCTTGGGGCAAGAGGTCATAATCAATATCTATTCTGTCTTACCACACCCACTCCCTCAAAACGAAGCGGGACAAACGCCAATCCTCCAGCCACACGCTGCGAACACTACAGTAAAGCCACGATACATTTGCTAACTAGTTAGCTAACTATCGTACTTCGCTCCAGCCAAATACTCACCTTCCTAAAATAAAAACACAATCCGTTGGCAGGGAGCTCGGTGGCCACCGGGGCCACCACCGCCCACATATCGTGGGAGCGGCTTCCAGATAGATACGGAAGATATCTCTGGAACACAAAGTGAACTAGCCACTATTCATACTCCCCCTAGCTCTATCCGGAATTCAACCAAAGACCTCACGTTTTCAGGAGGAGGAGGAGGAGGTAGGGGGGGGAGGGGTATGGGATTCTGGTTGGAGAAGCAAATATAGAGAGATCCACGTCGGTGGATTAGTATATGCTATGACATGTAGATGGTCTTGTCACGTAACGGTATGCCACGCTTATTTATTTTTCCTCTATTGATTGGTCGGGAGGTGGTGGTTTGGGGCTGGGGGGGGGGAAAGAAGAAGACCGGTAATGGGTGCGCAGGCACCACCGAGTGATGTGGTGGACAAGAAATCGTCTCTTGGGACCGGGGTTGGAGGTTCACATATCACCGGTACCCTACGCCCGGTATACGTGGACACTCTATCATATCCGCGTCTGGGATATGATAATATTATGATATCATACGTCTTTCTTCCCAGCATTAGGAAGGCAATAGAGAACTTAGCGTATCACAAACCCCACGCTACCGCCCTCCGCCTTACCTTAAATTAAGCGCGAGCGTCTAAATTACTCCAGCGTTCGCCCCTTCTACAGCCACAATGCACAGCCCCACTCCAAGAAACGTAACGGTATTCCAAAATTTAATAGTAGCTAAAGAAACGCGCTTCCAGGTGGTTGAGTGACTACGCCACCTAACAATAAGGGGTTCCTGAACCGACCAGGCGCCATGGTGAGGGGAACAAATTCTAATTCCGGGTACTGGTAGGATATTTTACCTTAGCGTCACACATGAAACGTGCGTTTCTGCAACCGACAAGATACCATTCGATAGATTGCTTAAGCGAGTGAGCCACGCCGAGGTTTATCCAAGTTATTTCGGCTGTCGGTAGGTAGGCGTTTTCAGCGAGTGTGGATAAGGGTTCGTGATCATGAGTTTCTAGATGCCTTGTGCATGTTCGGTTGTTTGCTCGATTGGGCTCTTGGGGAAGGAAAGGTCCCTTCTGCCGAAATTAGGGCGCTGCTGATTGCGCTGGATCCCAGTATGGTACTGTAGTTGGGATTCACTGGGGGGGACTTGTAAGAAAGAAGGAAAGAAATGGGAGTGTGCTGGGGGAAGGCTTGAGTACCGGTGTGATACTATGAGAAAAGTACTACACAATACATGGCTGGCTTATCTGACTTACTAAGAGGTTTTTTTTTGAGGGAATCCAAGATTAAGCTACATTATGGGCTCCCACTCCCACCATCCTGATGCTGCACCCCTCAGGTAGACCCTGATTTGCGATATGCAGTGGAACCACCACCCCCAACAGGATGATAGAAAGTCCAAGCTTCTTTGAGCACCTTCCTATAGATTATCATATTCTCTTCCTGCTGCAGTAAACCCTATAGGGCTGTGGGTACTACCCACAGTATCATACCTATCTATGATATGATACATGATATTGATGACGGTGTTCCTTGATTAGAACCCGAATCATTGTCAAAGGCCAAATGCACAAGAAGAACACACTCATCAAATTTTAACCCAAGGGATACCTTACATGTGGTTCCTTAAAAGAATCGCTAGGCCCTCTTTATCCCGCACCACGCACAGGGTAGGGGGAGGGAGAGGTGGGGATTTTGTTCTCGTAATTAGCTTATGGGTTCCCAATCAAGCATAGCCAAGTAAGTCAGCATATGAGATATAATTCTATCTATCTATGATCGTGGTTTTGACCTTACTGTGTTTGCAGGCGAACTTCCCAAGAACTGCTTTTTTTTTTTTTTTTTGCTCCAGTGGAAGTTATGGATACCGGAATGTTACCGGTCTGCCAATCAATGTCCCAACTGAGTAAGAGCTAAGGGCCAAGTTTTTGCACCTCGCTAGAGGAGCAGTAATTAACTTGAGAATCTCAGGCAGTATGCTGAATCTCTCTGCTTCTATTAGACAGGATGGGAATAAAAAATAAAAAATAAGGAAAACCGCTTTGAACTCCCGGGTCGTGCAATTTGCCCTTCCCGCCGACTGATACGGTAGTATCATAAGTAATTCTGGGGGGCGTGCTTGGTCAGCCACCCCGGGAACGACAAGACAAGCTTTCAAAGCACACCCTGCACTTCTAAATTTGTTGTCTTTGTCATCGGGATGAGACAAGGAGCGCTAGCCCGAATAGGAAACAAAAGCAGCACTAATTTAGCGTTTTTGGAAAAGACGTGCGCTTGCTCCCTTCCCCAGCCACGATCGAAGAAAGGAAAAAATAACTAATCCCATGTGTATGATTTCTTCAGTTTCGCCGGCAGAGAATATTCGTTATCCCACTTTGGATGCTTCTATTTTGCGCCGCACACACCTTCGCACGCCCACTGGGGCACCCGCACCACAAAAACACAGGCGAGACGTCGTGTGATCTTGGTGTACAGTACTGTACCAGGAGAAGGTACTGCTGTTTGGTCCGAGCTGGCTAGGTAATTCTATTCCTCGGTAACTCCAGATGTGCCAGTATGTAGGATGGGATTATTCTAAGCCCACCTTGGCTGGCTTACCGCCTGTCTGGGTGGTGACGGAACGATTGAAGGCGCGAGAGTCTGGCTGGGTACAGTGCCGTAGTGTGTTGTGAACAGAGTAAGCAGTGGACTGTCTAGATTCCTTTCTTATTATTATTATCACCCTTGGCTCTACTGGCGGATACTGTCTGTGAAGTGAATAAATAATGGCAGCGACACCCTCAATATCTGCCTTTCTTTCACCACCCTCTCTAATCATCCTTCCTCACGATCTACTCTCACGAGTAAATCATTTCCTTTTTTCTCTCTCCTTTCCTTCTCTAATCCCTTAGATCGTTTTACACTTTTCTTATTTCTTTTCTTTTCCTTATCACGGCCAAACTTCTTTGCCCTAATATTATATATATCATACCTCCATTCCCTCAAAGAGTAATATCATAGAAGACCAAATCCTGCAACAAATCCTTCGATATACCTTGATAATATCCTTTGAACATGCGGTACTCAGGATTTGCTGCAGCACTGGCTGCGGTGGCATTACCACAGCTTGCCTCCGCGGTGCCCCGCCCTGAAAAGGTCTACAGCTGCTCGGATACACAAGATACAGCCAAGCCTGTTGGCTATCCAGTCACTACATATTATCCCGGTGGTGATGGACCGACAGTCACTATCACCGCCGATAACCAGAAGGTGACATCCATTGAAAAGAGCATAAAGACCACCTCGTACCACTGCGACGGACCTGGTGTTTATACGCCACCTCATCAGACCAAAGTATGGACAGCTCACGAGCCCACATGGATCACTGTAAGTCTTAATTTTGCCCTTTCCCATTTGGTTTCGGTGCTGATAGGTCCTTGATTGCGTAGTATGAGGTTCCTTGTGCAACCGCATATATCTACCCTTATAAAGAGGCAACTTGTGATACTTGCACCAAGAATGTGGAGGTCATTGTCTATATTAATATTGACATCATCACCTATTCCGAGCAAGTTTGGAAGGTTGTCGATGGAAGCACCACCACTGAGATCAAGACTGTTACTGCTACTCCTTCTTATGTCTCAGACTATCTCCCACCATCCACTACATACCCCGCCGGTTACGCGGCCAGGACCCACACCGTTAAAGTCGGAGGTCTTGATGGAACTACACCAATCCTCAAGTATGACCCTGAGTATGTTGCCGATGTCAAGGTTGGCGGTGTTGTCCTATTCGACCTTCTTGCCAATAATCACACTGTCACTGAGTCCACCTTCGAGTCTCCTTGCGTGCCAAAAGCTGGCGGTATTGATTCCGGCTTCCTTCCCAACATGGAGAACATTCCCGGAAAGGTGACCTTCCCCGTCACTGTCACTGATGACAAGCCAAGGTGGTTCTACTGTGCTCAGCCTGGTAACGGGAAGCCTCATTGCCAAGCCGGCATGGTTTTCGCCATCAATGCTCCTAAGGCTGGAGATAAGACCCTCGAAGCATTCAAGAAACTCGCTGCTGCTGTCCCTATTGCTGGCGCACCATCCACTACGATTGGCGGAACTCCTAGTCCAACTGGTGGTGCTGCTGCGACCCACACCATCAAGGTTGGCGGTCTTGATGGAACTACACCAATTCTCAAGTACGACCCTGAGTATGTTGCCGATGTCAAGGTTGGCGATGTTGTCCTATTCGACCTTCTTGCCAATAATCACACTGTCACTGAGTCCACCTTCGAGTCTCCTTGCGTGCCAAAAGCTGGCGGTATTGATTCCGGCTTCCTTCCCAACATGGAGAACATTCCCGGAAAGGTGACCTTCCCCGTCACTGTCACTGATGACAAGCCAAGGTGGTTCTACTGTGCTCAACCTGGTAACGGGAATCCTCATTGCCAAGCCGGCATGGTTTTTGCTATCAATGCCCCCAAGGCCGGCGACAAAACCTTGGAAGCCTTCAAGAAATTGGCAGCCGCCGTCCCCGTCAGTGGACCCCCCTCTCCTACCACCACCGGAATTTCGACCACTACCGGAGTCCCTACCGCCACGGGCCCTGCCGTAACCCACTTCGTTAAAGTCGGAGGCCTCTCAGGCGGTGTGCCAATTCTCAAGTACGATCCTGAATACGTCCAGGCCAATATCGGAGATGTCATCTACTTCGATATCCTCGCTGCAAACCACACTGTCACTGAATCGTCCTTCGACGCTCCTTGTGTCCCGAACGGAGGAATCGATTCTGGCTTCCGCCCCAACAGGGAGAATATCCCCGGTGCTCAACTCTTCACCATTAACGTCCATGATGACGAGCCGAAGTGGTTCTACTGTGCTCAGCCAGGGAATGGTAAGCCGCATTGCCAGGCCGGTATGGTGTTTGCTATCAACCCTCCCGCATCGGGCAATACATTGGAGGCCTTCAAGGCGAAGGCTGCTGCGGTTCCTGTTAGATAAGCGGCTGAAAAGCCCTCGTGATAGTGAATGTGTGATAGCTATAGGGTAGTTGCATAAGTGCTGTTAGATTTTTTGATATTGTTTGTACATTGCATGGTTTTTTGTTTTTTTTGATTTCACTCATTTCCCCCCTTTTTGTTCTCCTCCTGTCATTACCCATGGCACCTTAATTGGAATTGTCTTGTCTAAGAAATAACAAAACCTAGTATCATTCAATAGTCTTTTTTGCTCTCTTATTTTATGTGATTTGTCTCTTGAAGTTGTGAAAACAAGAAAAAGAGGTCTCCGTCCTGAGTAAGACCATTAGACGGATCCCTTAGCTTTTCCGCTCACGTGGAGCTTGTTGTTGTAGGTGTGTTTTTCCATGCCGGTAGTAGTTACGGACATCCAATCTCACCCGAAGTTATCATAACTTACCAACCAGTTAAGGCATCGGTCGTTCTGACTTGTGAGTTGTTGTGGATTGTTGGAAGATGTTTTCTTTGGCTGATAACCGTGCCGGACACCCGAAAACGATCCTTTTTGTTCAACCGCTTTTGCTTAGTAATACATACAAAACCTAACTCATTGGCATATACGAGTATTTGTATGTGCATGCCGCGCAAGTAGAGAGTAGACTCTGGTTTTTGATTGTGAGTATTGTCTGAGAATGGTAGGTCAAACGAAGAGTTGAAGCCCGACACCTCGCGATTATGTAAATAAAGTGGAGTCAACTCTGAGCTGTTCTATAAATTAGGGGCTTTCCCAAAATAGTTGGTTGTCGGTTGTTGCTGGGGAGGGTCGATTTCAGCCCCACCCAGAACGCCGTAGCCGCACCTCCGTGGCGAAAGGCCTCACAAGTACCAGGAGTAATGGACCCGGTAGTTTGAGTCCGAATTTAGTATGGGCGCTCAGTTGTGCAAAGGTGATTTGCCAGACAAATTTTCGCCCGCGTTATGCCTTGGTACGTTGTGCACATCATGACGTCCTTCCCACCGTAAGCTTGGGGTATCATCTTGCGCCAAGGGGTGATTTGCAGTAAAATTAGTGACATCACTTGAGGAGAAACCGATTATTACCGAAACAAGGAGAGAAATGCCAAGACCATTTTCCTTCAGAAGCTTCTTGTAAGTTCTGGTCACCCCACGTCTCTACTAGAGTAACCTAGCCGCCTCCCGCAAAACCGCTATCCTTCTTCCCCCTCCTCCACTTCGTTGTATAAATTCCTCACTCAAAGACTCTCCCTCGATTTCAAGTCTATTTCGTCAGTTACCATTGAACTCTTTCGGGAATAATACGGCCTACTCTGCAAACCAAGAGACTCCAATACATACGATATAAACACAAATCCTTAATGTCAAATTTACAACTGACAGACAAGGCTTCCAAAGCTCTATCGGATGCACATGAGTCTGCATCTCAATATGGACACCCGCAGGTATATTTTGTCTTGATTCATTGCCGTCTAGAAGACACCAAATTGAACGCGTGGTTTGCTAACAATAATGCGTTTCATAGGTCACTCCTGTACACCTTGTCTGTGCCTTAATAGATGGACCACAAGTTGAAAATGACACAGCGCCAGCGGGAGCGGCACCAGCTTCGTCGTCGCCCTCTTTGCTACGTCAGGTTATCGAGAAAGCAAATGGAGATTTTCAGACCTTTGAGCGAGCAGTTAAGAAGGCCCGAGTACGGATGCCTTCGCAAGACCCACCGCCAGACCAAGTTTCATTTTCACCATCCCTTTCTAAAGTCCTCCGCGATGCTCAGAAATTACAAAAAACCCAACGCGACTCCTATATTGCTCAAGATCACCTAATCTCGGCAGTAGCCCAGGACTCCGGAATCCAGAAACTAATGGTTGAAGCCGGTATCCCAAAGGTTTCCTTGCTCGACGATGCGGTTCAATCTTTGCGCGGGACCAGGAGAGTGGATTCACAGAATGAGGAGAGTGTGGAGAGCGAAAATCTTTCAAAATACTGCGTGGATCTCACTCAGCGGGCTAGAGATGGAAAATTGGATCCCGTCATTGGAAGGGAACAAGAGATTCTCCGTGTTGTCCGGATCTTGTCCAGACGAACAAAGAATAATCCCGTTCTTATTGGTGAGCCTGGAGTTGGTAAGACCAGTGTCGTGGAGGGGTTAGCAACCAGAATAATCAATGCCGATGTTCCTGCGAATTTGGCTAGGTAAGCAATATTCTACATAATTCCCTATTTCGAGGAACGGTTCTAACTTTGCTTTTAGCTGCAAGTTACTCACTCTCGATGTTGGATCCCTCGTCGCAGGAACCAAATATCGCGGAGAATTTGAGGATCGTATGAAGGCGGTGTTGAAAGAAATTGAAGATTCTAAGCAAATGATTGTACTTTTCATAGATGAGATCCATCTGCTGATGGGAGCTGGAAGTTCTGGAGAAGGTGGAATGGTAAGTTGTTATCGTCTAGTGTGTAGGTCCTACATAAGCTAATTTCCTCTTCAGGACGCAGCAAATCTCCTCAAACCCGCACTCGCTAGAGGCCAACTACATTGTATTGGCGCTACTACACTGGCGGAGTATAGAAAATACATTGAAAAGGATGCCGCTTTTGAACGCAGATTCCAGCAGGTTTTATGCCCGGAGCCGAGTGTCCCCGAAACTATCTCAATTCTTCGAGGTCTCAAAGAACGTTATGAGGTGCATCACGGTGTGACGATCAGTGACGGAGCTATCGTTGCTGCTGCTACCCTTGCATCTCGGTACCTCACTGCACGTCGTCTTCCGGATTCCGCTATCGACTTGATCGACGAGGCTGCATCTGCAGTCCGTGTCACCCGAGAATCCGCTCCCGAAATTGTCGACACTCTTGAACGCCGCCATAGACAACTCCTGATCGAAATTCATGCTCTTGAGCGTGAAAAAGATGAGGCTTCTAGGGCAAGGCTCAACGATGCAAAGAGGGAGGCAGCGAACGTGGAAGAGGAGCTGAAGCCTCTGCGCGAAAAGTACGAGTCCGAGAAGCGTCGGTCAACAGAGCTTCAGGAAGCGAAGAAGAAGCTTGATGCTCTCACTGCAAAGTGCGAGCAGGCTGAGCGTGTTGGAAACATCGACATAGCTTCTGATTTGAAGTATTATGCTATTCCCGAACTCAAGAAATATATTGCCAAGCTCGAGGCCGAGAAGCTAGAAGCCGAGCAAGATGCCGCCATTTCATCGGCAAACGGGACTGGAGAGAACAATCCTATGTTGACCGATTTGGTCGGCCCTGAACAAATCAACGAGATTGTGGCCAAATGGACCGGTATCCCGGTGACAAGACTGAAGACTACCGAGAAGGAGAAGTTGTTGAATATGGAGAAGTACCTATCGAAGCAAGTCATCGGGCAGCGCGAGGCTGTCAAAGCGGTAGCCAATGCCATTCGATTGAGCCGAAGCGGTCTCAGCAACCCCAACCAACCTATCGCTAGTTTCTTGTTTTGTGGACCTTCTGGGACTGGTAAAACTTTGTTGACGAAGAGTTTGGCCGAGTTCTTATTCGATGATCCTAAGAGCATGATCCGCTTTGATATGTCCGAGTACATGGAGAAGCACAGTGTATCCAGGCTTATCGGTGCTCCACCTGGATATATTGGACACGATTCTGGTGGTCAACTCACCGAGGCTCTTCGCCGACGCCCATTCTCTATCCTCCTCTTTGACGAAATTGAGAAGGCAGCAAAGGAGGTCCTCACCGTACTTCTACAACTCCTCGACGATGGGCGCATCACAGATTCCACTGGCAGAATTGTGGACGGCAAAAACACCGTAATCATTATGACGAGCAACCTCGGATCCCAATACATTTCCTCTCATTCCCACTCAGAAGACGGCAGGATAGACCCAACGACGAGGGAACTCGTAAATGAAGCGATTAGGCAGCATTTCCTCCCTGAGTTCATCAACCGCATATCCAGTATCGTCATATTCAACCGCCTCGCAAAGAGGGAGATCCGTAAGATTGTCGACCTCAGATTAGTTGATATCCAGAAGCGTCTGCGAAGCAACAACCGCAATGTCATCCTCCTCGTCGACGAGCAGGCAAGGGACTACTTGGGCGAAGCTGGATACTCTCCCAGTTATGGTGCCCGCCCACTGAACAGAGTCATCGAGAAGGAGATCCTCAACAAGCTTGCCGTCTTATTGCTGAGAGGTGCCATCAGGGAGGGGGAAGTCGCACACATCACTATGGACGAGACTGGACATCGGATTGTCGTTCTACCGAATCACGATAGTGATATCGAAGAAGACGAGGATATGGACTATATCGAGGAGGATGCGCAAGGCATGGGTGGTGAAGATCCGGACATTGAGCTGTATGGATAAGCTCATTTTTATTTTTTTCATGTAAATTAGATGGGTTTCTCATGCTGCTTTTTCCTTTTACTAGTATCATACTTTGTAATTCCTGTTGTCTAACGCCCCCTGTTTCGAGAAAAAAAAGTCATGTTTTCCTCTCTTCTGTTGCACCTCCTCTCTTTCAACATTTTGTTCGTCTTTTCTAAGGTGGGTCTCGTAAAAAATTTTGTTTATTCCTGAGCTCTTTTTTCCTATCCCTCCCCAGGGTACCTAATTTTATTGTTGGTGTTGTCGCTGAGATTATTGACATACCTACATATCTGTGGTAGAAAAATGGAAACTTGAAGATTGTCATATTTGGTTACTTGTAGTTAGTTACGGGTAACTTTGCCAATCCAGAGGAGAATTCCATTTTATTCTAGTCCAATTTAAAAGCATCATTGTCAAACATTTCTCTCGCTACCTGCGACCCTTTCGTTCCATAAATGAAATGTTGGTACATTTGGCACAAGAGCAATATATATGATACCGCAGTTAAGAGCGATACAATGCTGCAGAACACCCCAAACTTCCGGAGAAAAGCAACCCAGCAGATTCCGCCCCCGCGCGAACCCGAACCGGTTGCGCCAACGGACGGGTTTGGGAATAACGCGGTAGGTGGGGGAGGTCCGACGGACGGACGACAGCCAGGTCGTCACTACCCGCGCGCTTTTTTTCTTTTTCTTTTCCCCACTGTCACGAGAGATAATCATTTTCCGGGAGTCCCGCTCTTTCTTTCCCGCTTCCCTGGAGTTCTCCCGAAAGAGCCTCGCACGGGGTGGGGTGATGAGTTTGGGGGTGGTCGTCGGTCAGTCAGTCGTTCCGGGGTGGTAGTACTGTATCGTGGTTGTTGGTTTGTGCAGGTCCTGTAGGGTCGGGTGGTTTGGGAGAAGTTGGGGAGTGGGGGAGTTTGGGAGGGTGGGACTGGACTCGACTGGGCGACAGTGGGTTCGCTAGCTGAGATTGGGGGGGAGGGGGAGTTGTATCATATCATACTGTAATTTATGGAACTCGAGTGATGGTAGCTGCGGTGTAGGCACGATAGAAGGAGAGGTGCTAGGTAGAGGTTTCTGAGAAATCCGATGCACTTGCCAAAATAAAAAAGGCGGCGATATCCTGCTGAATGCTTCTACCGTATCGCAGGTCAAGTATGATACCATGGATTACATATCGTGCTATCATACATTCAAGCATGATGGGTCCTCATCCCTAACCACTTCCCCGCGTGAGGATCGTGCAGGTTATATTCGAGTCGCCCACCCAACACCTTCGTCGTCCGAGATGTACTGTACCGGCAATCACCGGTTGCCTGCTCTCCCCCCCCCCCCGCTCTGCTATACCCTTCCCTACCCAACAAGTACAATCGCGTAATACGGTAGCTCAGCACCAAATTCAGCCCTCCGGAGATTCACATCACATCACTCGGGTCCCATCCACCCTGGTGTGTAGGGAAAGCGACGCTCCTGGTGCGCGAGAGCCCTCGTGCCATCCCTCCTGGGCTGGTCCCGAAGGGACGCTGAGCACCAATTTTCTGGGATTTACGCTGTTGGACCGCCGGGTGTTGCGTGCGAGAGGATTTTGTACCCGTGTTCCAGGCTAGGCTTGGTGTAGAAAGGGTTGGCGGGGTCGGTCGACCTGGGTTGGGTGTGCGAAATATGGGTATCGAACTTAATCTGGGTTTGATGTTCATTTATATTCGGGATGGGAGGGGTTTTTTTTGTGGTGTTATACGTGCGTAGAGAGAGGAGGGGGTTCAGCGTGGTTATCATAATCTCATTATTTGTGTTTAGAGTACAGTACTGTAGTAGAAGGCGATGTCGTATCGTAATCATACGTGAAACTTTATTTTTGTCATGATATACGTTTAAGAAAGGAGAAACCCGTGCGGCAACATTTCCTCGTGACTTTCGTGAGCTATGCATATGCATGATACAATATAGACGATAATAATATAATAAAACTATACCCATCCTCACCTCACCAGGCCCAGGTCGGACCTTATTCGCCTCGTCTTCACTCTTCATAGGTGTAACAGAGCACTCCAGTTCCCTTCTTACTCCCTTCAATATCCATAAGGTCCTTGACCGTAACGCGGGGCGCGAGAGGACCAAGGTCGATTGGGAACGACAACGTAACATTGGGCCCTGTGATCGGGCCCATCATTGTTACAGGGCCAGAAATATCCGAAAGGCGAGCGGGTAGGTTCATAGACTGCCATTTCCAGTAGACTCTGTCAAGGTTGGCGTGGTGGAGATAGAAGACCGGTTCTCCGGGACTGGAGAATAGATCTCCCGCCTATAGCAGAAAAAAAGGTGAAAAACCCGAACATTAGTAAAAAGTCTATTGCGGGAAGAAGGGGGACAGGGAAACCCCCACCTCTCCACCAACAGAGAAATGCCCTCCGCCATGAATCCCGGCGTTCTGGAAGTTGGTCTCTCCCTCTACCACTTTATTAAACCAGCCAAAGTCCGGCTGTGCGAGCGCGTTGTTCACTTTGGCAGTGTTGGAAAAGGTCTGCGCGATGAAAGGACTGAAGCCCCTTCTTAGACAGCGACTTGTAGCGTTCAGCGAAGCTCCAGGGCCGATGTGGAGTCTCATATCCACGAACGGACCATTGGTAACACATCCGCCTCCGGTAGCACCGGGGACGGCGATGGGGGATCCGTCGGGGGGGATGGTAGCTCCATTCCCGCCGAAACCTGTGTCGGGGTCCCACAGTGGGGATTCTAGGAAATTGTCTGCGTCAAGGGTCCAATCCCAGTATCTATTTCATTTGAGTTTATGCTAGGTTAGCAGGGTTTTTGGATAGAGCGAGGGGTGAGGGCGGAAATTAAAGGCTTAGCCATACGGTTGTGCTCCTTGATAACCGCACTCCTCGCGGAGCGCTTTCTCGTAGGTTGCTACGTAGTATCTGTGCCATGCTAGGAAGTGGCCCTAGACATGAAAATGAATAGATGAAATTAGCCTATGGATAACGCGCGAAAGATACTCGTGCAGACTGTGGTGGAATTTTCTTTGGGGGGGGGAAACAGGGGTTACGATAAAAACACGGACATCGGTTGGCTCGAGAAAATGCTCCAATCAGAACCCTGAAATCCCATCCACGATCTTTTATACCAGAGGGAGTAATAATGATGGCAATAATTCAAAATACCAGCGCCTTCCAGAAGGGATGTTCTCGGCAGATGGGCATACTCACGACAAAGTGAATCAGGAACGTTTGCTGAATATGCACGCCTTGGAAGTCGTCGAACCGACTGACAGAATTCGGGATCGTGGCTTTCGCTATGGCGGGCTTGGCTTGAATGCACTTTACCGCCTTAATGTAGCTTTTCTTTTGACTGTCAGACAACGTCCTCCTATGCCACCCATCGGACATCAGTATCTCTATAAATTTTTTGGGGGGAAACCACGAGCGGGTGAGACAAACCATTCCTTCCTCTTGATCACATTACAAGAACGCCGAGAAGTCTCGCTGGGGTCACCGCCTGGTAGTGGCGCTGCAGCAGCACTTCCAAGGAAGGAAGCAAGGTAGAGGCCATACACGAGAAATGCACCAATTGATGGCATCTTAACAGGCTTTTTGTTTTCCGCTGACGAAAAAAAGGCGCGATACTCGTGGGCGTGCGCCGGTAATAACAATTGTCCGGGCAACTATCGAATAGGCAGTAAGAGTGAAGGGATAGAAGAAGGCAGACCCGGGGAGAGCAATCCTTATATACCGCATGAATCTACACACGATCAATACGGTGCTATACCGCTGTCCTCTTTCCATCCCTCCAAATCTCCAGATCCCGGCAGACGTTACCGGATACCCTAGATCTAACTTACACGAGTGGAGCACCATCTATGCCTTCGAGCCGCCTAGCTGCTAGGACAAACGTCTCGGGTGACTGAGACTGAGGTTGCTTCTTCTGCTCGAGTAGGGTTCACGCAAGAGACAGAAATGCTTGTGATCCATAACGAGATGCAAATATCGATAGCATAATGGAGATAGCGGGAGCCCCATCAACGCCCCATCAGCGATTACAAAGCCGCTTTCTTTTGCTCCACCCTCGCTCAGGGAACCCCACAGTTTTGGATGAGAAGGATGTCGTGCTCCAGATTGGTCAACCGGGTGGGGCTCATCGCTCCATGGATATCTATTTTTACCTTATTTACCTTTTTTTCTCTTCTTGATTGATAATTTAAATGCACCCCTTTTATAAAGTGCGTAAAAAGCGAAGGAATTTCGTGAGCGCAGATACAGTACGTTACCAGCACTGCAGAGTACTCTACCTGGGTCAATCATACTGATGGATTCCAAGAAGTCAACTGGACGGAAGGATCCAAGAAAAAGAATACTGTCCCGCCATACTTGCACCGTACTGTACCAGTACTTACACCCACCGCCCGACAACTGCTAATCCATTTTTGGCCTCGCTCTTTAGAAGAGGCTTGAGTGCTCGCGGCAGGCGAGACTACAAGTAACAGTACCCGCAGATACTCCAGTACGGTAGGGGCGCGAATTTGTCTGAGCTCTCAAAGACCCAGGGATTTTTGCCATCTACTTGTACTTTGCGAATCCCTGCCTTCTTGCCTATCATAAACACAGGGATCAGAAATGCGCACCGCATAGAAAATTATCTCTGCCTATCTGAGTTCTTATGCTAAATTCGGACTCAAATGTTCGAGTGCCGGTACAAGTAGGGTGCCGTGCAAGCACTCGTACGCGTGGCAGGCAAGAGGTATCCGATAATGGGGATTCACAAAATATATGGCGAAGAATCCGTCCAGATCTGGGCGCCATTAAATCTCATATCTCGTATTTTCGGCGTGCCGCGAGCACGAGCACCTCACACAGGATACTTTGCATCTCGCAGAATGCAGCCCACTCAATCAATCACTCACAAGCTAACCCAATTTCATGGATTGAAAAAGCGAAAAGGGAGAGAAAAGGGATCCTTCGGTTTCACAGAATAATAACTCGGGGGAGAAGAATGAACGGAAGGGACGGCTAATAATCCAACCAAAATACCTGGTGGCGCACATGGATATATTGGGGTAGTTTGTTCCACCTTGTTCTGTTGGTAGTCCCCACTTCCGCTCTACGAGTACAGCATGCTAACATTTCTACGCTATCGCCCGTTCCGGAAAAAAAAACAGCCAATGTAGGGCACAGCCAAAAAGTGGAGGAGGGTTGAGAGGCGCAACTGCAAGTCTTTCTCTTCTCTTTCGCTCTCGGGGGTCCCGGTTCGTTCTGCTTTGATTTGCTGGATTTATACACAGACTTGGGGAAGAGAAGAAAAGAAAATTCCGCAGGATGGGTATTGCCTGCAATTGAGTCAGGACGAAGCGTCGTGGAAAAGAGTTGGCCTATGAACAAATGCAACAACAGTAACGCAAGCGAGATGGACGTTACTGTCTCTGGAGTACCGGCGCTGTATAGTACAGTACGCGGGTGTAAGGGCATTTCGTGTTCCGTCAATCAAGTCCTCGCCCAGCAGGCTGCTCTGATAAAGAAACCTCCGCTGTCTCCAGGTCTTGAGGTGACTGGATTTCTAGGAATTAAAAGGGGGATGCGGGATAGGGAATATGCTTGGTAGAAGAGGGGGTGCCCAAAACAAAACAAGTTATAGTTCCTTATGGCGTATATGACTTATTTTCAACTTGAGCATGTGGAAAAATACCATATTTTCCCCTACCCTATGAATTAGATATTGCTTGAACTTTTGTACTAAAAGCACACATATTCGTTTAATTCTATACTCTGTTCCCCGCCTGCCTGCCTGTCTTTTGCGTGATGAAAACTTTCCAACTAAGGAAAAACACGCAGAAACACGACGATTGAACACCGCCAAATGATGTACAGTACAATGATCAAGCGCTAGAATAGCGAATGGCGTATAAGAACCGAACAGTTAAAACGACTACTGCAAAATTCCGACGGCGGAATAGCCATGGCGATACGCGGTATCGTTAACGGCTCTCGAAACCGTGAGTTGGCGATCCTAATGAAATAAAACACATTTTGGAAGGCTGATGAAAACTCCAATCAACACGACTTAAAGAGAGGGGTGGGGAAGATCACTATTCTCGCCACACTATCTGCTCAACAACTCGCTCACTCGCACGGCGACAACTAACTGACTAATAAGACAGGAACGATAAACAGGACGACGAGTAAAACGACGAGCACGGTATTCTCTTAGCTTCCTCCAATCGCCATATATATCTACGGACCGCCGAACTCATCCAAATAAGTCTTCCGGTCCTGCATTCCATGCTCCAGCGCTAACAAAAGAGAAACAAGTATTACAAAGACTCCCGGCATAGTCCCTTGGACTCGTCAGTTCCCTGGCTCAGAAGCGCTTTCCCGAAGTGTATTGCCAAAACCTGTATTCAAATATGTGGAATGAGCGTCACATGCATACAAACTGGTTCTCAGTTTTTTGTGCATGATAATTGAAAAACTGGTGAGCATGTTGTGAACATGTTAAAATATTCTGAGCATGCTGGATGGGTTTGAACGTGTCGAGTAGTATGAACAGTTTCTGACGGCCAGGGGTTGTGGTGGCCAGCCACCGTGGCACGAGTATTTCCAATACTGCTACTCTCTAAGTCATGTTCAACAATAAAATATTGGTGTAGAGATAAAACAACAATCAGCGGTAAAAATAAAAATAAAAATATAAAAATACTTCCAGACCAATCATATCCCATTCACAGACTTTACCGTATCTGCCTACCTAATCGGCCTGCTAGCTGGGTGATTGTGCTAACTTAACATAATATTCCCGTCCACCACACCCTGGCCGCACTAGCGTGAGTTCTTCTAGCTTTAGTACGGTACTCGGGGTAAACCGTGTGAGCCCTCAGCGAGGCAGCACCCTCAACGAGGCACTATGAATCTTGGCATCTTGGAATAGTTAGTACAATGAATTTCATCATAACGTCCCTGATCAGGAAGCGGGACGCTATACCGAACCAGGCCGTGGGGGAGGGGCTGAAAAAAACATTGTGATAAAGAGCAAAAAAGCCACCATACACAATAAAGAGTAACAGCCAGTTACACCATGGGTTGAGTCAAAGCCAGGAAAGAAGATCTTCTTGGAAAGACAATTGTTTGTGCCATTGAGGCCTTTCAGAAAGGCAATTACCCATTGATTACAGCCACAGTACAAGCATTAGACCTGACTTAATCGACTGTTGCATAGCGGTTAAAAGGTGAATAATTTTCTTGGCTTGAGGCACATATTGAGCAATAGCTCCTAACACCAGTTGAAGAGAGAGCAGTTGTCCGATGGATAAAAAAGTTAGATGATTGGGGCTTCCCCACCTGTTTGGACATGTTACAAACACGGCATGGTTTGTAAAGAATTTCATATATTATATTGGGTTTTTGTACACATGACCTGTTTAGAGGTCAGAAGGGATATGTTTTGATTAATGACTCATTTGAGTCATATGATATTATGATTGTTGTTTGTACACATGACATATTTTGGAGTCATGTGGGTTTCACATATAACTTAGACTTTATGTCATGATCGTTATGCTATATTGAGATTGTTAGTTGGGTAGGAGTAAGCCATGTAAGGCTTACTTGAATTTAGCACATATGACCAGTTTTGGGGTCATGGGGGCTATGTGTATGAGCAGGAAGGATATCATGAGGACAAAGGATCATATAGTTATATGGAATACAGCCATAATCTATATGATAGTTGGATTTGTAAGCAGGTTGTGAGAAGATCTATATAAGGCGATAGGTTCGGCCTTTAAGATAGATCTTCACACAACTACCAAGTTATTTCCTACCTTCTTCCTTTGGCCTTTGGCTGCTTATCGATGAACCACTTCGCTAATTTCACTTACGATAATTACTTCAACTGCTACAAACCTTTATATTTTTGTTTCTTGGGTAGTTAGCGAGCTACTGTCCTTGGCCTTTAAGGCATTTAGATTGAGATATCTATGGCCTGGTCCTGGTAACACCTGAGTGCAGTCACTGTGCTGAGGATGGCATCTTCTCCCTCCTCCTCCTCAGTCCCCCCTCCCTCCTTGAGGATATTGTCCTCTGTTCAGTTTGTCTCCAACCCTCCTTCCTTGCTTGAACCAGTCTATGAGGCCTGGTTGCTCCCTTCTACCTCTGAGGATCTCTGTGGCCTCATTCTGACAACTATACAGTGGCATGCAGTGCCTGGAGAAAATTCCTGTTTTCTTCACTTCGTACGTGTTTATGGTTGTGTTAATGCCCTACAGCTGGCATTTTATAGTTTTGTGAGGTAGATGTTTGTCACCTCCAACCCTGCAACAATGAAAGAGGTGGAGTTTTGCATGTATGGTTACCTAGTTGGAAAAGGTTGTTCAGCCTCATATGGCTTGAATGGGGCCTCAATCACTGGGCTTCTGGTACAGTTCTACTCTGACCAGGGGTCAGAGTATACCCCCTCCCTTGCCTGTTTCCCTCCTACTAACTATCAGATAATCATCCCTGAGTCCTCACTACCTCAAACTAAGAATAACTCAACTACTGTTTCGGTTGAGGCCAGTTCCTGGTCCGTTATCCCATTGTCTGCTGTTGTGGCTTGAGAATAAGGCTACACCTTCGTTGGAAGGCATTGGCCATACCCTCTGGGCAGCACTGCCCCATCAACTCTATCGATTCTTGCAAACGTGTCGCCTGGTTAAAGGAACCTGTACATGGGGTCCAACTTCAAGCTGGATGACTACTGATAAGGACTACAACCCTCCTGCTACTGGGACATGTCAGCATACATGGTTAGAATCTCCTATGAAATGTGCTACCTCCTCCACCCTGGGGCGGATGTTTTTTAAAACCATAAACAGGGATGAAGGTGGAAAAAGGTAGATTGTTCCTGTACTCTCCAGTATGCCCCTGGATTTGTACTATGAACATCTTACCCTCCCTGTTCCT